CCTATGTACTGTGCAGAGCAAAAATAATTTCTTGGCAATTTACCAGTCCACTGAATCTAAGGATTGACCACCAAGAATCACAAACTCCTTTTTCTTTATCAACTTATAAATATAACCTACAAACAGCATGTAATGTCTAGATGGTTTTTTTTTTCGTTTTTTTTTTTTTCATATTATTCATAATTACATTGTCTTTATGCATTTAATATTTACCTAATTAGCTAATGTTCTCTGATACTGATATTGACCTCTATTTGCACTTGGCTTTTCTAAACCTAATTTATACAGTTTATATATCCCTTTCATACTTGAATTACTTGTAATTATTGTATTTATTTACTATGTTATCATAATATTATTGTGTACTTTAGTTTCAGAATTTATTTATTTACTATGTTATCATAATATTATTGTGTACTTTAGTTTCAGAATATATTTCATATTCAATTGTAATAAGAACTTTTACTGCATGGAAAAATGTGTGAGTGCTATATATTCAAACATGCAACTCCGACAAAACCAAACACCAAGTCAGACACAAATAACGCTAGACGTGAATATTGTGGCCATACTTTTTAAGCAACCAATGTGATGTTAAACCAGAAATAGCTGGTGGCTGCCTGGACAGACGCATGATGGGTAATTTCTATAGTCACACAAACCACATGATTAACCCACCTTGTTTGACCCAACCTGTCTGAAGATGATGTAGTCTGCATTCTTGTAATCATATCTTACAATGTACCTTTCAGTTCCCATAGGGATTTAATATCATATTCATTGTAACCCTATTAGGAATTTAACCATTGATCTTTGAACAACAGAAAGTGTTTTCAATTCCTGCCTCAATTTGTTGAATACATCGGGTGGAACCAGTGGTCCTAAGACAGAGTTTCAGGTCAATCTAAGGTCAAATAATAAAGTTAGTCCTATCATGCATTTCAACACATGCACAAGCACTGTTATCTGCCAATTTTAGCTAATGAAAACAATTAACTAGACTTTCATTTGAACATTATTTGCAATAATTGTAATACATACAGGACATCCATTATGATAAAGCTAAATATAGTTTTAGATTCATATGACAATAATATCTAACGTTCATATTCTGCTTAAATGTACAACCTCTTGATTTGAAGGACTGCTTAAGAGTCACTTCTGCTATAGACTTTAAGCTAAAATTTGATATAATATATTTTTTTCCTTTTTTCCCCCCTCTGTATTTTTGGCTGATTTTTCAAAAGCTTACACAAGCCAAAAACAATTAGGCATAAATCAAAACATAATTGAAAGCAATGAGCATCAATAATATGTACCAAGGTTACACGACTACGATTGGAGGCCTTTTTTGGAAACAAAAAAAAACAGGGCATTTTACTATTTCTCAAAAAAAAAAAAAAAAAAAGCAGAGAAACTTATTTTCAGTTTAATTTGGCCTTATAAAAAAAGAAACAGCTGTATCCAGTTTTACTGACACCATTGCTGTTCAATCTGAACTTGTTTACATCCAGCCACGGACATAATCTCTTTACTTTTCACAGTGCAAAGTTATCTGACAGGTTCATCCCGAATGCATCATTTTATCAGCGTATTTATTTCCATTAGTAGATTGAAATGAATGTAGCTGGTATTTATATGTTGAAGATAACAATGACAAATACAGAGACATTCCAAAAGTGAAAATCCTAAAAGGTTTAATGCGAAGTAACATCCGGGAATATATTTTTCGGGATAAGGTAGATTATTGGGTAAATCTATTATTAGAAACTGAAAAACAAGTGTTTACATCGAAAAGTAATAAATACTAAAACCATTTGAACGTGCACTGGGAATGTAATTTTGAAACAAATATAGTTTTATGAAAGTATTTTGAACTGCATGATCCATGCGTTAAATCAGGAATTATCAATTTTGATGGTCTAACATACCAATTCACGACTAACAGATGTATGAAAACTACTGTGTTATTGTTTTATCATGTACATCTTGTACATTGTTTCATCTTGTACATCATATACTACTTCTTTCGACTGTCTCCGTTTTTGTCTCTATGTGATATTTTCTATGTGATATTTTAGGACCCAGCTGGAAACACACAGGCTATCCTGGCATATATATCTATTTTTTAATGTCAATTTTTATAAGTGGTATATACGATGTTCAAGGTATACTAAAAAATGTTCAATATATATTATTTTTAAGATAATTTTTTTCTTATTTTTTATGTTTTTTTATAATTATTATTCGTGTACAATTTTTCTGAATTGTGGTTTTTTTAAATAATTTTTTAATGACATTTTTAGCAATTGTGTCTATATTTGTATATATTTTCGTATTACTGTATTTTAATGTTTATTATGCCAAATAAAATGAAAAGAAAAACCTGTTATGTAACCCAGGCACTGCATTAACAATCCTAAGCTCTGTGCACACTATCAAATTTGATGCAACAAATGTGTGATGTGCCCATATATGGGCATGCATCCAAATATGGGCATTTTGAAACTATTTGTCAAATAAATTTGATAGTGTGGACAAAGTTTAGGCCTAAAATATTAACTACCGAAAGCTTGTCAGGTAATTCTATTAACAGGCCTAAAATACACACTTCTGTTTATAATAATAGTTGTATTTTCTTCTATAATGCTAAAATACACTTGTAATATTATTATCATAATCCATTTCTATTTTTCTATCTGTCAAACATTAATATAATTATAATAATCTTTTATATTTATTAACTTTCATGGCAATGAATTATATACCTTTGGCAAAACATAATTTTAAATATTTTGATATCTAAATATTTTTTAACCATTACCACCAACTATAATGAAGATAATGCCAATGAAATGCATTCTATTCTGAGTAGTATTTCAACCTATGAAATGTATAATGGATATTTACCCAACTAAGGATAGGCCTCTGTTTACCATGCACTTTACTCTATTCAGATGCCAGTCAAAAATTACATAACAAACATCAGGGTATTATATGGCTGGGAGTAGCCAGAACTTAGTTTGCAAGCACGTTCAGCCATTTTCAGACACGAGCTACGTTACTGCAATATTGTGAGAATATTCCTAACAATGTCTTCTCTATGAATAGGTCAGAACTAACCAAAGCCGCAATATTCTACCAAAGACTCTTTAACTGTGTGAGGATCCATTCATAGAAGTGCATTATATTTAAACAATTACAGCAATAGTTAGTTGGTATAAATAGTTCATGTCGGTAAGTGTAACAGTATAATTACTGCAATATTGCCAGAACCTCTACCTGAAAATGGCTTTTGTCAACTATACAAAAACATGTTGAACTTATTCAGGATTGTATCTCTCTCGTTACTACTAAATTCATCACAATCCATAAATTATTCAAATCTAGCATGGATATTGAATTAACTTTTGAAGCTATCGCATTTTCAAAAGTAAAACCCTACAGATGGTAGTTTAACAGTCTGCAGAACATGAGATGGAAACTCATACTCAAGGTTTTAGTCTCTGTACGCCTGCTCTCAACAAACACGTTCTAGAAGGTGGCGTATGCGTTATTAGCATTAGGGCTCATGTGCGTTAGTGTAATCAGGTGTATTATGACTGGCGCGTATCATGCCTAACACACCTGCAGTACATTTCCTGGCTACAGTGCAAATGAAGTTCTTTGTATACGGTTGGCTAGATTGTTCGACAACATTTTTGTAACCGTCAACATTGAAGACTTTCAATTAAAGCTAATGGGCTTCACTAGACTATAATGGAGGGTTAGTTATTAATATTGATTACAAATTTAGAATATTTTTTTTAAATAATTAACTAACCAGACGACATGCTCACAATAAACTGACCTCCAACTGTCATCAGTGTGTCAATTTTATTCAACTTTTTATTTTCTGTCCTGTTTTGTGAGTGGGTCCTTATGACCTATACTCATTTATGAATAAATATTAAACATACGAAAGATTGATGAGTCCCACCGCATGAAGTTATTTACACCTGTCAACTAATATTATTATAATACTGACAATAATAATGATATTATGAGGATGATGTTGATGATAAGATGATGACATTGGTGATGATATGATGATGATGATGATAATGATGTTATCATGACGATGATTATGGTATGGTGATGACATTGATCATGGTATCATGATGGCGATAACAATCCTGAAGATCATCATGACGACAATGATGATAATGAATGTGGATGAATAAGGAATATCTTATGCTACTGTCAACATGAAAAACATAATATAATGACTCTTAAGCTATATTGTTCTAATTATTGGCAACGAGGTCAGGGTTACTTTGCAACAAATATTATTATCTATATATTAATTCTGCTAATCGCCACCACGTAACTTCACCTATCTTGTCTGAATCCACTGGCAGGAATGTGCTCATATCTCATACACTGGGGCTTCTATATGTCACAACCACATTCCGCTACTTTTCAAAGCTGGATATTGGATAACAACGAAAAAAACAGCAAAAAACCACCAAAAATCGGTACCTCTTTCGCCATGTTTTGCAAGTTTCTTACGTCACATAAACACTACAGTATCTCCTCTGTTTTGTACCCCACAGCTCGCATCAACAAAATATCACCTAATACGCCTTTTTCATGCTGCTGTAGACATCTTCGGTCGAGACAAACAGTGCTGAGCAGTGAAGCACAACCAACAGAAAAAACATAGCATTTCCGCCATATTTTCGGAGGTTAAGTTACAGTACTTGACAACAATTCCTCACAAGGACAATTCAGCAACAAGACACTCACCCAAAATGTGGTCTACATAGAGGTGATTTAAAACAATTATGACAAGGTAACCAAAACATTCTCAATGATGGCCTGCTCAACTCCCCATAGCACTCAACTGTAATAAATGCCTCATCCACCTTCCTTCACTCAACTAACACAGTGCGGAGCACGGGTATATGCTAGTGCCTATTATTAATCTATTACCAAATAATTACAAAATTAAAACTTACCTGCTGTTGGGTTATCATATAAATTGAGGCAGCGTCGGTACTAAAAACTAGTCCATTCCTTATTACTTCTTTTCCTGCATCTATTGTCAGTTTCTCATATTTTTGTGCGGCAGTTTCCGAATTCAATCGCAGCTAAAATCATAGAAAATTGTGAATTTTTTTATGTAGGTAAATATATACAGAAAAATTATTTTAATGGTTGATAACCAGTTCATTTTCCCTCAAGAAACATATCACTCATAAAAATTTCAACTTTGAAGTGTGCTGAAATAGATTTTTGCACTTGTTTACAATCTCAAAATATGGGGTGTACAACAAAATTTCACTGAAAATGTGGCCGGAACAGTGGTATATATTCAGGCTCTCAATAGCAAGATCGGGGGTTTGAATCCCATGCTGTTCAAACTAATATGAGTTCTTAGATCTCAGTTAGATGTGACCCAGGCATTTGTGTATGTTTGATTTATATTACCAGGTATTAACTGAAACATGATACCACAAATTTATTGAATCAATAATTTAAAGAATATGGATAGGGCCTACAAATGGTAGAAATAGTTTAAATCAAACAAATTGTTATGCAAATTGTTGAAAAAAAAGAAACAAATGTCATAAAAAAAAAGCAATTTACCTTTGTGAGGCTGCCCTCATCATTACCAAGGAAAATTACACTTTCTTGTACCTCATCAATATATTGAAAAACAACTGATGTGTAAAGCGTACCATCTTCCTGGTATATGGCATCGTCTATGATTGGAGCATTTCCCCCAAGATCAGGTATTTGATCCAGGTCATGGCAGTACGGTACCTGCTGTGACTGTAGGTATTCAGTCTAGAAAATTAGAGAATTTAATATCTAAATCTAGTATTTTTTTATCTTGCATATATCTTCTACCACAAATTTCTAAACTTTAGTTCAAAATAATGTATCTTGCTATGAGAAAATTATTGATAGTTATTCAGAAAAACATGAAATAAAGAATGCTGACAAGTTCCTTAGAAAAGAATTGACTTAGAAGTACAGAAGAACCCCTCCTTTGGGACATCCCTATTAAGGGACACTTCCGTGAAACGAGGGAAAATATATCTTTTTGCACTTCGGCCAACCCCTATTAAGGGGACATCCCTATAGAGTACCCCAGTTGTGTCGTCACAACACCAAGTCGCGCCCTCTGTTGTCAACCAGACGTTGGTTACCTTCATTACGCCTAAATGACTTTATAGGCTTTCTGGAATAGGCATTTTAAAACCTAATATTTTACCATCAAAATGTATTAAAAACACAAAAGCTCCCATTATAGTTATCGAACACACATTTAATCATCAATTAAAACTTACAAAGAAAAATTAAGATAAACATTTTAATAATTACATTACAAATTGGGATCAATGGTTTGTCAGTGGAGACAATGGGTCTGATTGAACTTATTTTGTGTTGCCGATAGCAACGGAGTAGTAACACGTGGTATTGTGACGTAACACTGTAGTACTCTATTAAGGGAACAGAGGCACTTTCTGAAAGTGCCATATGATCAAATAATCCCTATTAAGGGGACACTGAACTTTGTTTCATTGTATCAACTACAGCAGCCTCAAAATAAGAACAACTCATTCAACTTTATATTTTACCCCTTCTGAGCAATAAACCAAAAATGTTTTCCCCTGAATCCTTAGAGTGAACATCGGTAGAGCCCTACTGCGTGTTTACTTTGTATATACCAATCTTGTCAACTTTGTTCCTTATCCATGTGGATTTATTTTTCTTTGTTTTTCATGTACTTGTGCATAGGATACTAATTGCTGCGAAGCAGCCAATTCATATTCTTGACAGCAATTTGACCCCTGAAAGGTCATTGTTTGTCAAAAAACAACGGCCTAAGACGACTGAGAAGCAGAGTTTCCTTCTTTCGTTCTGCCGGGTAAAATCAATTACTTTAGGCGACGTTTGTAGACTAACCAACACGTACCAACGTCTGCATGTCGCGCTAGCCTTATCCTACTCTAGGCCTAGACTAGCTAGGAGATGTGTATAAGAGACAGACGTTA